GAGTTGCCGCCATGTGATTGGCTGATTAGAAATTAAGTGTTAACGAGCAGTTGGACAGGTGTACCTAATAAAGTGGCCGGTGAGTGTATCTGTTCCTTCACAAATAATTTGATGTAATAATTTGATGTAATAATAGATCAGAAAACTCAGCGGGTTGAAAAATAGGATCCACACAGAATGTAAAGACCGGAGAGACTAAATTCATCTTTTTGCACTCCTAAAATGTATTTAAAGGCAAGGTCGGGGTGTGGGAGGTGGAGGAGGGGCTGATAGTGCATACATTTTGTCAGTAAATTAGAACTCAGATTGATGCTTTCACCTGGTCTGTCGTTACTGCACCTGAGCTCAAAGTACATCAGAAAGCTCGACCTCCTCTGCTCTGATTGGGTAAAACTTTAGCTCTGGTTCGCTGTATTTGTTGTCAGTTTAACACCTGTACCATAATTAGACTGGATGGCTTTAACAAGACCACAAATAAATAAATAAAAAATAATGTCCTCGCCTCATTTTCACAGATGATGGGAGTTCGTCCTGGCCACATTCAAAATGAAGGAAATCTACTGTGGTGATGGAGAACAAAACTATAATATGAGTGCAGTGCAGCCCACCCAGCAGAGCCCTGCTTACTTGTCAGGGAAAAGCTCAGCGACGAAGTATTCCACAGAGACAACAGGCTGCTTCTCATGGATCACACCGGCTCGACGCAGGCTGTCGATTCGCTCCTGAGCCCCCTGCCCACACAGGAACGTACACTGATGACAACATTTCTCCACTACCAGAAAAAACAACCTGAACTTCAGTGTCGAGTAAAGAGCTTTCAAAAGAGAGACCACAGATGAGAAGCCCTCCCTGTGCAGCACACATCACGCACTAACAGAACCAACAGACAGAGGTTGGCTGAGTGGTTGTCTATTTTCATTTGATGGAAGATATGAGACATAAGTTAAAACGAGCTTTCTGGTGTAAATATTTCAGAAAGAGACCGCCATCATGTCTGTGTGGGAACATGTCTTTGCATTTTCAGTCATAGATATGTATTAGACTCAGATACTTGCCAGGTTTTCACTCTTATACCAACATAACTCCAGCTAAAATATTTATAGGCTTTAATTATTGCTCATAAGTCATTTTCTTAAAAAAATCTCACTGCCTCCTGAGAAGTGAGAACTTAGCTCCAGAAAACAGGTGTTCTGATGGGGTTCTGACTGGTCACTGAGAGTGTATATACTGTATGTCTGTGTGTTTATATCTATAGTATGCATGTATGTATGTATATATCTTTATTTATGTATGGGTATGTATATTTGTATACATGCTTTACAGAGAAATTATAATTAATTTTATTATTATATAGATAGATATTTCATTGCCATGTTTTCTTGTATCCATTGATTTTCAGGTGAGTGGACAGATGTTGGGTGTGTGGCCTTGTGTGTTCTTTGTGTTTATTTAACATATTCTAACCTCTATTTCAATCTTTCTAATTACACTTCCTCTTTTCCCCCTCTTTTTTGTTAAAAGTAGCAAAACTGTGTTTGCTGTATGACTGGTTTCACCTGTTCCCCCATGTTTGTCTTGTATGTCTTCTTGAATGGGTGTTTCTTAACTGGCCCCTCCCCCCTTCCCTGAATGTACAGCACCTTGTGAATTTATTTCTGTGGAAGGCGCGATATAAATAAAACTTTACTTACTTTTTCGATTTCCTCTTTACTTAAAAAAAAAAATCACTGATGATGAAGAAATTAAGAAATTAATATTAACTTTTTTTTCTTCTAAAGTGATATAAAAAAATGAAAAGAGAATTTAGCTCCAGAATTAGTGAAATGCTGAAAAATAATAAAATACTGCGGCGATAAGTGCTAGACTTGGACAGCCGTTACATGTATGAATGAAAATATAAACAAAAGGCAGTGAGCTGACCTTGACACCTGCTGCGTAGCCCACCGGCTGTGGAGCAATGCTGGACTGAGCGGGCTCTCCAGTGACCATAGCCATCCCAAAAACCTCTTGGAAGGCATCTCTGACAGCGTCCACATTACTGTCCTTATCTGAAGCCACCACGATGTCAATGTCCCCACCAGACTCTGGACAACAGCAGCACATGAAGACACATTAAAGACATTTGGACATTCGATGCTGTAATAAGGGGAGGGCGGGTTAACGTACTGATGTATGGAGCCATGCCAGGGTCCAGAGTGGTGATCATGGACTCCACAGAGTGTTTGGTTTTATCAAGGACCGACTTCACAACAGGGTTGCCTGCTACTCCCTGAGGACACACAAGACATGCAGAGTTTTTATTTAAACCATCAAATTCTTGTTTTTCACGTTGAACAGTAGGTTTTTTTTTGTTTAAAATATGTTGAATTACACCACATCATATATTAATTTCCTTAACGTGTCTCTGATAACTGCTTCATTTGTCATATCTGAATGTATCTGTTACCTTAAAAAATCCCCATAGGCTCCCTCCAGTATTGACATCTCCAGACACTTGAAGGTCCTCCTGCTCCTCTGGGAAAGTGATTGGAGATCCAGCATCTACTCGTCCGGTCATGACGGGCTGCTGAACCATGGTGTTAGTCACCACGCCTGAAAAGTTTCATATTTGAAGAAAAATAAATAAATGTGAAAACTGAAAATACAGTTTGGGATGACAGAAAAGGAGACAGTGGACTGAAAAAAAAACTCTGTAGGCCTCACAAGAGACAGTGTCCAGTTTTAAATGTATCAAGTTTGACCCAAGCTAAATCTCTGCTAGTCTGTAGCTAATTTTCAGTTTTTCTTCATCTCAACCCTCTTATATTCACTAAGTGTCATTTCAAAACCATTAAAAAGTTTTTGAAGACATTATTTCTCAGTTTTGCGTATCTTTAATTTTTTCACTGTTGTATAGAAAAATAAAGAAGTTCCAAGCTGTGGGTCTTTACAGCCAAGAAATCTTGAATTGGTTTTTCTGAAATCTGCAAAAATGGAGGAGCACAATATTCTTACTGAAAAGTTGAATATGGCATTAGAGGATTAGTGTTACAGTAGGTGTCTAGTTTTTTTGAGTAATAGGAAACAGTCAGTGGTGGGCAGCGTTAATTCAAAAATTAGCTCCGCAATTTCTAAAGCGCTTATGAAAATATTTAGGTCCGCATCTTCAAAAGCGCTTATGCCATAGAATAACTAGCGGAAGCTAATTTTAAAGCGCAAATTCAATTTGACACTTAGTAGCTGGCAATAATTCATGTACATATATGCACAATACTGCCAACTAGCGGTGTATGAACCCTTTTACAGCTTAATCCTACAACCGTTGATTGCTGGGGATGTGATTTCATTAAACCGACCTTTAGCTCCTGGTGTAAAAATCAAAAAGTTGTTGAGGATTGCTAGTTTGGCTGCTTCTCTATCTTTTTGTTTTGTTTATTGTAGATTTTTCATTGAAGAAGCGTCAATAAAGTCATTTTAAAACTGTTTATTGGAAAACTGAAGCGATGCGTTCTGGGTACATGACAGCTTTGATTTGTGACTGGAAACGAAAGCACGGAGCACAGGCAACTATCTTCACTTCAAAATAAGAGCTTGGATTTTAAAGTTTCCCATGTAGTTGCTCCAGTTGACCACTAGATGTCTGTCTTCATCAGCATAACATCTTTAAATCATTTCTGCATCTCTAACATTGTTTCTTCGACCAATTACGTCAAGTATTGAGCTCCAGCGTTTAAACTTTATTTTTTAAAGGAACTCCGATTGTAAAGTAAAATAAATCAATACATACAAAATTTTAGTATGGATTACAAACTTCAACTGTTTTGCTAGGACAGGGAGTTCTAAACACTGCCTTCCTGCTACGTAAGCAGACACAAAGCATTGTGGGAAATGAGAACCGTAACCGAAAGCAACAGTCAGCAAGGATGTATACCTTCCAATACGTGTGTTTATCTGGGAGGGGTGTTGTTGGACAGATCACGTGTGTTGTGATCCATTGACAGCCATACCTTCCACTGTTCAAGATAATGAAGACAATTAGTTATTAGCGGTACTGCATTTTAATTTTAGAAAATGCAAATCCGCTTATGAATTATAAAAATCTGTAAGACCGCTAAAGCGCAAATGAAATATTTAGGTCCGCAATTAGCGGATTTACGCTTTAGCGGACTGGTGTCCACCACTGGAAACAGTGTTCTCTGGTAAATAATGTAAGATCTAATTCATGTCATGTTAGATGCGCAGTTCCTCAGGGTTCTGTGCTTGGACCAAAACTCTTGTATGTGAATGTTTTGGTTTTTCAACTGCTCCTTCATCTCAAATTCTAAAGGTTAGTTTTCTAACAAACCTGTGGTTTGAGGTTGCTGTAATTAACCATAAACACATTTTAACAGCCTCAGACTTGTCTCTTAGATCCTCGTCACCATAGATATCCTAGCATCAAGATTCAAAGTATATAAGTTTGGTTCTTCGGCATCTTTCAGCTGGTATTTACCTGGAGCAGCTTACCCACTAACCTCTTCAGTGACTACAGATGTAAAGCATCCAAAAATGACTTGTCAAGCATCACTTTAACATAAATCTAGAAATAAACTGTTTTAATAGCCTATTTGTTTTTAAAAATATATACAGTATTTACCTGGTAAAAGTGCAGACATTTTTGTATGTAGTTTTTTTAAAGGTTATTCTGTGGGGAGGGCGTGAACTAAAATTTTACTGGTTTTTGACACTGAGTTTATACTGAAACAGCTTAATAGTGTTAATAAAGCACATACAACACAATAAATACTACATTTGACTTCCTAAAGTGAGGCTCTGACCTGGCATCACAGAAGGACTAGAGAATGTAGGCATCAGTGGCGTCTGGGGTGTCCGGCCAGCATGACCCCGTGTTATATCATATCCGGCACTCATGGAGAAGTGTGATATGGGCGGGCCGACAGGAGGACCTGACAAACCAGCTGCCGGAGGAGGTCTAATGGAAGAGGTCTGAGGTGGCAGAGATGGAGAAGCAGAAAGAGGGAAAGGGGCACTGCTGGTGAAAGGCGAGGCAAATGTGGACACAGGGGCAGGGGGAAGCTGGGACGGGAAGGTAGAGATCGTGGTCAGAGGGCTGCTGAAGGGAGGAAATGAGGGAATGGAGGGGAGAGGGGCGGGGACTGAGGATGAAGCGGTGGTGACAGAGCTGCTGCCTGACAGCGGCGGAGGACTCGACAGACCTGGAACAAAAAGAACAAAAGTCAAGAAAACTTTCACTCTGAATGTTGTGAAGTGCTCCTGTCCTCATACTGGGATCTCAGAGATCTCATTTTTAACTGCTTACTATAGTTGAATAAAACGAACATTGCAGAGGGAAATTCTCTATCTCCTGAACATAGACCAAAGAACCACCATACCAAATTTAACTGGCCAATTTAATTATAAAGAAAGACAGAATATATCAGAAACTGACCTAACGACGTGTACATACTTAATAACCAAGCAGCTGCTACACCCAGCTTACTGTAACCCTTATTTAGTTTTGAGTGAGAAGGCAATTTATAGTAAAGCACTGAAAGCACATGTTGGGTGCCTATACTTCTTGCTTTTCAAATTGACTAGTTTTAATGTCTTCCATGTGATATTTATAATGTTTATGGGGCTACTCGCCAGCATGTATCTAAACTCCATTAAACAAGTAGTAATTCTCACAGCAGCATAAAACAGTTAAAAACTGTTCTTCCAGCCTACCATACCTGTCATCCAACAAAGGTTATAATAGTTTTGGGTTTTTCATTATAGTTTAATTTTATTTCGTTGTGACTTATTTTCTTTTAGTTCAGTTACTTTTAATTTGCTTTTCCAGTGGATTTGCTAGTTTTTATTACGTAGTTATTATTGCATTTTAATGCTTAGTTGTAGTTTAGTTTTTATTAGTTTTTTTATAGTTTGAACAAACATATTTGCCAATGCATCCTCCAGCTTGTGATGTTCCTGGGAGTTAACTAACCAACAGCTATTTAGTCACTAGTTAAAGCAGTCCATTATAGCGACACCTTCCTAAAATAATTGTGTAACTCAAATTTAGCCAACTTAGGACTTGGGCGATTATTTTAGGACAATGATAATATTTGTCTCCGACCTGGTGTTACCTGTTGCTTGTTTTTCGCAGGAGCTACTGAGAGAAGCTAACGTCTCAAGATAGTCATAGTTAGACATCTTGTGTGAGTTTGATTCATGCAGTTTTTCCCTTGAGAAGTATTCCACCTGTTTTATCACCTGTTTCCACTACAAGACACTTGTTTTGATTTTTTTCGCAGTCATCAAAGAAATCCCAAAGTGGACATTGCCGTTTTCTCCCAACTTTGTTGTCGTCATTTGGCAGGTGATGCTGAGCAGCAGCAGACTGTAAACAAGTATTGTTACAGACCACAGCTAAAGTGAAACTACTTAATCTAAAAATGTAAGTAAATTAAGATCCACATGTCTCAAAATAAATTGACAAAGACTAAAATTAAGGATATTCTATCTATAATTATAGTTAGTTTTAGTTAGTTTTGTAATTAGATTATACAGTTTTAGTTAGTTATATTACTTTTAGTTAACTATAATTCTGCATCCAACAGACAGTTAACACCTGTAGAGCATAATGTAAGAGACACCTGCTGGCTTGAATGGAGAATTACCTGGAACCAAATATTAATACAAGGCTTCTACAAAATTTAGTTGGTTAAATGAAACACTTTTCAGGACCTTTGAAAAGACTATTATTCTTCAAATTTAGTATCTATACGAATAACAAATATGGCGTTAGTTAAAAATATTAAAAGTAACACCTTTTATTGCCTTTCATTCAAACTCAACCCAAATCGTTCCAGCCCTCTGACATTAAGAAACAAACAAAAGAATGAAATTGTTGTAGTCAGATACATTTGCTTCTTTCAGATCATAGAAGAAAGAAATTCCATGTAAAATGTCCATCCTTGCAGACAAACATTACAGTATATGACTAATGCAGTGGTTCCCAAACTTTTTGTCTTCTGACCCACAAAATATTCATGGCAAAAACTTGTGACCCCAAATATTACTGGTCTGAGTACATGAACTTCTTAAATAACTCTAAAATCACAGGATTTTGGACAATCTAAACAGCTTGTACACAAATACAAATACTTATTTTTACTTATTTTGTGTTTTTGTAATAATTATAGAGAAAGGATTACATCAGCAATTTTTTTANTATTCTATTTTGGTCCATCTTTTCATTTTCACACTGTTGTTATTGGTGCAGCAGGATAAGTTCTTAACAAAAGGTGGCTATCTATAAATAAATAAATGCTGGCTAATGTAGTTGAACATTTCTTTAACAGGTGTCAGCTGTTGATGATTTAAGATGGCTGTGTCTCAATTCATGGGTTGTCACATTTGTTGGCTGCTTACGTCACTGCCTCCTGCTGTAGGCTGTTCCAATTCGTAAGCGTCTACTCATGCAGCCGGAAAATTCTCAAAAACGTAGGCTGCATCTGAGTATCCCAAAATTAGTTGCGCTGTCAACAAATTAAACTGTAAAACAGAGACGGCAATGTTTTTTTAAACTGTACTGAGGATTTTTATTATTTTTTATGACAGAGTTTGGAAATGTATCAGGGGAATGTAAGTTAAGCAACTTAGCTGAAGAAACTTTTGTTGCAATGAGATGTTAAATACACTGCCCAGTCGAAAAGAAGTCACCATTTGGATTTAACAGGTTTATGATGTGGGGTTGCTGCAGGTGGTCAGATCTAGATTCAGCAACAGTTTGTGCTCAAAGAATGAGGTCAGCTGATTACCTGAATATACTGAATGACCAGGTTATTCCATCAATGGATTGTTTCTTCCTTGATGGCATGGCCATAGTCCAAGATGACAATGCCAGGATTCATCTGGCTCTTATTGTGAAAAAGTGGTTCAGAGAGCATGGGACATCATTTTCACACATGGATTGGCTCCACAGAGTTCATTGAGAATCTTTGGGATGTGCTGGAGAAGGCCAGACTCCACCATCATCAATGCAAGATCTTGGTAAAACGTTAATCCAAGACTGGATGGAAATAACTCTTGTGGCATTGCAGCAGCTTATCCAAACAATGTCACAGTGAATGTGTGCCATAATCAATACAAACATACTGTATGTCTTCTGTAGACTAGACCAGTGGTTCCCAAACTTTTTGTCTTCTGACCCACAAAATATTCATGGCAAAAACTTGTGACCCCAAATATTGCTGGTCTGAGTACACGAACTTCTTAAATAACCCTAAAAACACAGGATTTTTGGACAATCTAAAGAGCTTGTACACAAATACAAATACTTATTTTTACTTATTTTGTGTTTTTGTAATAATTATAGAGAAAGGATTACATCAGCAATTTTTTTATTACCCTTTAAATTGATTTCTGGAGTTTATCCAAGGTGCTTCATGACCCATAATTTGGTCCCAAGCCCAACTTTGGGAACCAAAGTGCAGTGGTTCCCAAACTTTTCAGCTTTTGACCACAAAATAACAGCAGCAGAGACCTGTGCCCCCAACTATTTTTGTATGATAAACATTTGTATCAGGTCAACTAAACATGGGCGTAGTAACAATTTTTTTATACTACATTTATCCATTTTAAATACACTAACCTCACTCCTTTGTAACAACTAAGGCAAAAAATGTAATTAATTCAGAAAATCTTTTCAGGACCCCACCTTGATGTTTCGGGACCCCACTTTGGGTGCCGACCCCAACTTTGGGAAACACTGGACTAATGAGCAGATGCAGATCTGAACTGGGAGCTACAAGAATTAAACAGCAGAGATGGGGGCTCGTGACTCAGACTTAGACTTGAGTCGCACTTAAGTCCCTACTATTAGAGACTTAGACTTGACTTGGACCCTAAAGACTTGAGACTTGACCTCGTGGTTTGAGACTCGCAAACAATGCAAGTTTTTTCACTGCCCGACTCACGGTGCTCACTCCCTCAATAAACGTCCATGCTCCGCTCCCCCTCACCTGAGAATGGGAGGGGCCAGCACAGTCTAATGTTAATGACTTGTACCCTGCAAAGTGTGTGGAGTCCAAATCCAACATTTGTTTTTATGATGACTTGTGCAGCCCTTTTACTTTAAAGATTCTGGTTCATCATCTTCACTGACATGCTTTTATTCATTTAAAAATATTTTTTCTGGTATTTTATTGTAAAATCAGCAGCAGACTTGTTGGATTTGTTCTTTGTCAATGGCTACATATAATTACAGTAAGACTACAATTGCAAAATACAGTTAACAATACTCTAAATGCTTGATTGTTATTTAAACCTTAATCTCATCTGTATTTTTAAAACAGTATGTTTTAATAGTGTCTTGGAAAAATAAATTATCCTTTAAGGTCCTACATTTCTTCTCAGGCCAAGAGTCAGTAAGCTCTTTTGCTTACCTTAAAATGTCATCATGTTTCATGATTTTACTTTTTATCTTCTTTTTTCTCTCAGATAAAGCGTTTTAAGATCAGGACAATATCTGTTAGAGGTAATCATTCTTGCTGCTGTTTTATCAAATATCATTCTCTACTTGGCCCAGTTTCAGCACCAAGAAAGATGTTTATTGTCTGTCTTAATAATATACTGTATAAATGAGTGTATTTGAAACTGCCTCAGTGCACACATTGTGTACCACTGCCCTGTGTGACATGATGTGTGTCTTGCAAATTGCAATAAATCCTATTGACCATTTTCACGGAGTGCTTTTTATTCTTGGATCTCGTGTTTCTGTCTAGGTAAAATAACATGACAGATATTATTATTAAAACATGATACTATGTTTTAATATTTTATTAAAATATAGTATTATAGAATATAATCTAGTAT